ACAAAAGTCAATATGAATTACCATACTAGAGTTAAAGACTGGTATAAGGGTGCACTGAGACCAGTAAATAATGAAAGGGAAACATTCAGGAGAATAAGATATCCATTGTAAATGGTACAAGACTTAGTAAGGAAGAAGACAAATATTTGTGTTGTCTGATTGGAAAAATAACAGAAAGAAGTGTTGAGAATACTTACTAGCTTTAATTGAGAATTTACTCATTGTGTTTGTTGTTATCCAGAACAATCACCTTCACACTCCTATATATTTCTTTTTGGTCAATCTATCCCTGACTGATACTTGTCTCAATCATTGTTCCCAAATCAATGGCAGTTTCGTTAACAGAAAACAAAATAATTACTTTTCCTGGATGTATTGTTTTTTCAATTGTTACATGTGTAGCTTCTGAGGTTGCATTGCTTACTATCATGGCTTATGTCCATTACATAGTTATTTGCCATCTCTGTAATATAGCCTTATTCTGAAATGGAATGTGTGCAGCCAAATGGCAGTTGCTTCTTAGATGAGTTCCCTGACATATGTATCTATCATAACAATAAAAAAAAATTCCAATTAAACTTTTCTGGACTAAATGTGACTGGGTAATTTTTTGTGAAGATTTCTTGTACTGATGCAAAAATTAACCTAAGTTTGATTTTGGATATTGGATTCATTGTGGGTTTATTTAATACTGGGTTTATTGTTGCCTCTTATGACTATACAATTTCTGCTGTGCTAAAAATTCTGTTGAAGGCAAAGTGTTCTCAATCTGTCATCAATTCTTGACAGTCTTTTCTTTATTTGTCTCTACAGCTTTGTTTCCATATATGAGGCCACAAACTATTTCCTCTTCCACAATAGACTTATCTCTGCTGTTTTACACTGGACTGGACACTTAGATGTCTGAAATGGTATAGGGTCTCCTGCTTGAGCAGGGGGTTGGATTAGAAAAACTCCTAGGTGCCTTCCAATCCGATTCTGATTGTGGTAAGATGGATGGCCAATAAATTGAATAAATAAATAAATAAATTAAACCACAATTCTCACATAAAAGGTGATAGCAGAAAACAAGAAAGATTATTATTTTTCATTATTATTTTCAAGGAATTGGGCATTAAAAGTCAGCACTTTAAATTTAGAATACACACCCACACACATACATAAAATATGCACTCACACAAAAACCATAACCTTAAACAAAATAAAAGTGAGGGAAAGTGCATTATATATTTGGGTCACTCCATGTCGAGTGGTCTGTGGGTCTCTGCTCGATCATCATGGATTTCGATGAAACTTTGTGTGAACATGCACACATGTCCACAATGAACATTGGTAAAGTATTATGTGTGCCGATGCAATACTTGTGGAGATATAGTCATTTGTTTGATCCCATACCGCAGCCTTCTACAGTATGAGTCTGAGATTCCAGCAAATGTGACACACAGTATCTCTCACAATATTTTTTTTAGAGCAACAAAACATGGCCATCTTGTACAACATTTCACGCTCTATTAAACAAAATAATAAAAACATTCTCATGAGTGATCTCCATCTAGATAACTTGGAGCAAAGTTGGCCAAAAATATTGTGACTTGAAACAAGGTGATTTTTCAAAAGTTCTATAAGTTTCTATTATTTATTTATTCCTAAAAACACAGTTTAGTCTCTAATAACATTTATTTTCAGATCTATGCTCATTAATACATCATATAATTATTTAATGTTCCCTTCAAATGATGTAGGATCTTGGCCAACAAGTCAGGTTTATCTAAATAATAATGATTTATTTCCCCAATTAACAAAAAACCTGATTTTAAAGAAGTGCAGTTTCCATATTTTAGTAAAAAAAACCCAACCACCTGCTATTCTTTCCAAATATACCATATAAAGAAACAGATATCACATGGATTCCTGTTCTGACCCCCTCCTCCGTCCAGTAACAAATGCTGAGTCAAGCTTAACTGGAATTTCACAGCACTTTAATTAACAGGAAACATAAACTTTGGTGGTTGAAAGCCCATGCATAAACAAACAGATAAAGACCTTGGCAGCAACTCAGACTTCGACATAGGCAGATAACAGCTTCTCCAGCATTATGAATGAAGTTGAATCCTGCAAATCAGACTGCGTCAGTGCTGGGTTACAACTGGTACACTCTGGTACTCTCAGGTACAGGTGTACCAGTGCCTGCCAGGAGCACCAGGTACCATTCTGGTATGGTGCTCCAGAGGGCCCACCTGCCTGCCCACCGTCCTTACTTGTATTTGAGCTCTTTGGGGTTTCCACGCACAGAGTGTACATCTGGAGCATCGCAGAGGCGTCGTGGAGTATCGCAGATGATAAGTACGCATGTGCATGCTGTGCTTGTCTGCACGTGTGCTGCATGTGTTCATGTGGTGGATGCTGGGCCCCGTTGCATCGTACCGGTTGCACCGGGGTCCAGAACCTACCACTGATGTGCATTGAAATTCTATGAAGTTATGCTTGTCTCCTCAAGCTTGCATTTTGTCATCCATGGATGACAATTTAAACAGATAAAGGTTTTTTGGACAATGCTATTCAGATTATTCTCCTTGACCCAAGGGAAGAAATATTGCCATTCTGCCATGACAACAGAATTGCTGCACATGGGCAAATATTTAAACATTTACATTGTGAGCTCAGAGAATTGAATGGTCAAACATAAGAGAAGATGTCAAGGAGTCAGTTTCATCCTCTTGCATCACTACCAGTGCAAGGGCAACTAGTTTATCTCAACCATTTAATTCTGATGCTTGTTTTTTTTTTACCTGGGGCAAAAAGTAACTCTGATGGGCTTTCAAGATCCTGCTATTGTGTCTCAGAAGTATCATTTGACACTTATTTCAAAATACTTGAATTAACACAGATTTTTCTATTCAGATGATTCTGGTTCATTGGCTGATATTCCAAACCATTTGAAAGGAATGTTAGATACATTTAATGATATATAAATGTGCACAGATCTGAAAATTAATGTATAAAACCAGATTTGCTGGGTTTGGAGTACAGATGTCAAACTAGCGGTGTCACATTGTTGTCACATGATGTTTCATGAAGTTTTCCCCATTCATGGAGCTGGAGTGGGTGTGGCCAGCATATGATGCATCTGGCCTATGGGCTGCCAGTTGACACCCAGGTTTAGAGGAAAAGAGGAATGAACAATCTCTAGTTATAAAAAAAAAATAGTGAAAACTCAGGGCAAATTGATTAAATTATGTATTTTGGCAGAATTAGAGATAGGGGAAAGTTGAAGTGCTTTTGAATAATACAAATGTTGATAAAAAGAGACTGAGTAATACAGTACAGTTATTCGTGTATGTTTATTTTTAAAAAATGACAGTTTATAGGAATATTGTCTTTTATAAGGATACATTTTCTCAAAGATAATCTTTATTCATTTGGGAGTCATTAGAAGCTGCTACAGAGTATATATTTCACATTATAAAAGAGAAAAAGTATGAGAGTATGAAAGTATGTGCTATAGGACTTAGTTAAGTAGTGCATCCCAGTATAAGCTTTATTGTGTTCCTCAAGGCGTGACTTTCTGAAACACAACAAAAAATAAAGATGATACAATTTCTTCCATTTTTGTGGCAAGGTTATTTTTTGCAAAAGTCCATTTATTCTCTTGGAAGAGTTATCTTGGAAGCAAAGTAAGCAGAGGTAAATAGAAATATCTATTCACTCATCTGAGTCTCATATTTGTTCAGTTATAAATGAAGAGATATTTTATAAGCATTGGACACCTCGCAGTAGAAGTTTATTTTAAGAATATATTGATATGTTTGGTTTAATATTGCTGCATTTATTTATTTATGTGTGTGTGTGTGTGTGTGTGTGTGTATGTATGTATGTATGTATGTATGTATGCATGCATGTATGTATATATGTATAGTTATTGTGAATTATATGCTAAAATGATGCATTTTATTATAATAATTTTACAGAATTGGAAGAAAATAATACACATAATTATGGATAATAAGCCTGATAACAGAGCATATTATCATTTCTATTTAAAGCAGAAATATCCATGAAATTGGTTGTGTTAAAAGATTTGAGGAAAGAGAATTAGTGGAACATTAATTCCAACATCTTTTTATCGCCTATCATACATTCATGCAGATTTAAAAATCTGCATGAATTGTGTATTATGCACATTACACAATAATTTTCAAGTAATGATAACAATTTTATATTTTTCTTGTTATATGTTTCTCTTCAGTTATTTTAAGAATAAAATAAAAAAAGTCTGATTTAATGATGTTGCTATATTTCATGATGTTAGGATTGAGAAAAACAATTGGGAAAAATGAAATTTATTTGCAGGTCAAATTTTAACGTCCATTAAAAAGAAATATTATTATCAAAATTCTGTTTGGAGCCCTTGAAGTGACATTTAAAGGACTTCCTCAATACTTGAAATATTTATCACTCTAATTATACAAAAAAATCACCTTACTTGGAACTATATGTTTAGATATTTCCTTAATATATATTGGATTCTTGGTTACATGTCAATTATTAAATTTTCACCAGTCAATGAATATATCTGTGGATAAACTTTGTTTATCTTATGTAATAATAATAATTCTTCCTGAGCTAGTCTCAAGCCAACAATTTTAACTTTCATTTGTAGTGATGGAACCTGAAAAAAATTCTTTTGATTTTAAGGAAGTATTGTAAGGATTTATCAAATTATTTTAGAGCAATTTATTGGACATAATACTAAGTGAATTTATTGACTAGTAGAATATGCTGCTAAATGTATACTATCATTAAGGACATATTCAAGAAGGGTGTATTGACAATCATCTGATATAAAAGTAAGATGACTCAGTCAGACTATTATAACCTTTACTCTGCAATCCTATATCCATCTGTCTATACTGATCACACAAATGTTTTCTCCAGGTGTGTTATAAATATTAATCTCAATTCATAATTTCTTTTTGCTTAGAATGGTTGAAAGAACTAGAATGGCCAACCAATCCACTGTGATGGAATTCCTTCTGATGGGATTTTCTGATGACCATGATTTACAACTTCTGTTCTTTTTTCTGTTTCTCTTTATTTACTTGATAGCTTTGGTTGCAAATGTATTCATTGTGTTGGTTGTGGTCCTGAATAACCACCTCCACATACCTATGTATTTCTTTTTGGTCAATTTATCCTTGACTGATATTTGTTATATCACAACCACCATCCCCAAATCAATGGCAGTTTTATTGACAGATAACAAAACAATTACTTTTCCTGGATGTATAGCTCAAGTGTTCTTAGTTATTGCTTGTGTAGGTTCTGAGGTTGCCTTGCTCACCATCATGGCTTATGATCGTTATGTAGCTATCTGCCGTCCTCTGCAATATAGCCTTATTTTGAACTGGGATGCATGTAGTCAAATGACAATTGCTTCCTGGATTAGTTCTCTCATTTATGCTATGTTGCTTACCACCATAACCTTCCAATTGCATTTCTGTGGATTGAACATCATTGGACAGTTTTTTTGTGATGTTCCTCAACTGCAAAATATTTCTTGCACTGATACAAAATTTAATCAAATTCTTATGTGGATAGTTGGATTCATTGCGAGTTCATTTTGTACTGGATTTGTTTTTGCCTCTTATGGTTATATCTTCTCAGTTATTCTAAAAATTCCATCCACTCAAGGTAGATACAAAACCTTCTCAACGTGCAGTCCACACTTGACAGTCTATTCTTTATTTATCATTACATCTATGTTTTCGTACTTGAGACCACAAAATCTTTCTTCTCCCACAATAGATTTACTGTCTGCTGTATTGTATGCAGTGTTGCCTCCTGTTCTGAATCCCATCATTTATAGCTTCAGAAACAAGGATATCCAAGAGGCTGTATGGAAAGTAATGTCAAAATCTAATCTGGCACGTTAGGCATTCTGCAAGTCCTGTTATCCAAGGAATATCTGATGACTATAGCCAGGAAACATATTTTGCTGCTGTAGTCCTTGCCCTTTGGAATATCTTTCCTTCAAAATTAAAATGGACTTAATCTTTTTAGACATTTGTACGGTTTTAAAAACATCCCTATGTGCCTGGTCCTAGTTTTACTGATATTTTTACTGACAATTGTCTTCTTTTTTTTAATAAAGTCTTCTTTATTTTCCATTTTTATAGCATATAATCACATTTATACTATTACATAGCCAACATCGTATTGTATTATTAAATGGTTACATCAATTCATCTTACCATCAACTCCCTAAAAGAAAAAAGGGGAAAAAAACAGTTATTGGCTCTTCTGCTCTCCATACAGTATATTTGTGCATTCACCTCTCTTCTCCCTCTATCATCCCCTCCCTATCTCCTTTCTTCTCTCTGTCCTCTTTCCCTTCTCTACTTTCCCTTCCTCTCTCCTACTCTTCTCTCCCCTTTCCACACTTCATTTCTCTCCTCCTCTTCCTGCTCCTACCCTCTCTCCTATCCCTCTCTCCTTCTCTTACCATTCTCATTTTCTTCCCACTCTTCATCTCATTTGCTTGGTGTATTTCAGCTTCTGAGCAAACTTCATTTTATGTTGATGGTATTTATAGTTCCTTTTCAAGTTACATATTTAATTTTAAACCTATATTTTCCTCCTTAAAAAAAAGAAAATAGAACAAAAAAGTATACATATATAATCATTGTACTTTTAACCCCCCCCCCAGCCTAATTTGGGTCAAGATGTAGACCTGGTTACAATTCCCAGCTATTGTCATCATTATCTTTATATAATTATACATATTTACATGCCTCCAATTTGTGATCCTACCTTTAAGACTGAATAGTTTCCCATTATAAGTGTGTTTCAAGTTCCCTCTCCAATTTTTCCATGTCTTGGATTAGATTACCTTTAGTTGTTTATGAATGGCAAACCTTGCTGTTCAATATTCATTTCAATTCTCTTAATCTATTGTATAGAATAACAAACGGTAAACATCTTGCTTTATTTCGTCATCTTAAAAGTTGTATGTATATACATGTTTCATATATATAACCCATGCTTAATTGTCCTTATGTTGTCATTTCCAGTCAATTTGCCACTGAGTTTAATTATCATGTATAATAGTGAATGGCAAACCTCTGCTTTACAACCTCCCCATGTCAGTTTCATATTTATCCACATTCTATATATTTTGGCCTTTGTTTAGTTGTCTTTCCATTGTTATATTCAACCAGTTAGCAACTCCATTTTATTGTCATGTTTTTGACAACCTCCCCACATCAATATCAATATCATATTTATCAATATTCCATATATTTCAACCTTTGCTTAACTATCTTTCCATTATTACATTCAATCAATTAGCAACTCCATTTTGTTGTCATATTTAGAAATAAAACCCTTATCTTAGTTTTATATTCTCCCACATAAAAATTCCTGGTTATCTGATTTTTTTCCTAGTAAGTCTTTTGTCCCACTTCTCTACTCCTTCTCTCTCCCTTCTCTTTGCTTTGGCACATCCACTCTCTCCAACTTTCCCTAGGTCACCACAAAAAGGATGTTTTTTTTTATTTCTCTTTGTTGGGGCAAACCTCTCCCTTCAATTTCCCTTATACCACTACAACATCAACCTCTTTTGTCTGCCTTTTGTTTTCCTCCATTTCTACTTCTTCATTATCTTGCCCCTCTTGTCCCCCTTCTTCTTTGAATTCTTCTTTAGATATATGCTTCGCTGGGTTCACAATTCTATTAAGTTTGTTCATTTCTTCTGCTATCGGGGAAAATGATGGGAGACATCTTGGTTCTTTCTTAATATCCAGTTCCAAGATTGCAGCTAGTTATACAAAGTCTTATTTTAAGGGTCTGGTCCACCTTAAGTTTTAGCTACTGTGAGACTGGAAGTGAAGCTAGAGCCATCTTAATCTTTTCCAGTAAAATAAAAAGATGAAAGGGGGGGGAGGAAAAAAAGGAAAGAAAAAAATCCTAGCATTTTCCAGTTCTTAGCTCTGTAATAATTCTTCCCCCTGTCACCTTCCATCTCCGATCAGCCACAGCTGCTCAAAACATATCAATTAGAATAAACTTATAAAGAGCTAGATCCGCGTACGTGTCTCTTTTGCCTCCTGCTCTTCCAACTTCTGGTTTATGGTAATTGGTTAGTTAAAACTTCCCACACAGTCAAGGTTAGGTTATCTGTTATCAGAAAAAAAGAGATAAAAATACTTGGTTTCTATTTGATATCTGAGACAAAATTAGAGTTTATATTGAGTGGGTTCAGAAGAAGACACACTTTTTTCTAGATAATTTTAGCTGGAAGAAATTCAAACAAAGTAAAAATATTGGTTTCTGTTTAAGATCCAAAACCAAATGTAATGTTTATAATTATGGGGATTTGTAACTGCTCTGCTTTCTGTTCTTCTATTCAAAAGTGCAGACAAAGAACTTCGTGCCGGGGGGGAGGGGCTGGTGTTACAACCCTCCACCTTCCTTTCTTCTTTTTCTTTTAGGAAAAAAAAAAAAGTCCCAATCTGACCATCAGTATTGTTTATGTTCTCAAATTTTCTTGGCCTTTTCTAAGTTTAATTTATAGTTGTGGGTTAGACAAATTCTCTTATCAGGTCTTTTATCTCTCCCAGTCTCTGCCTGTTCCAAACTTATTTTGACAAAAAAGCCAGCATCTTGTCTGTGATGAAGACTGCCACCCCGACTCCGATTCATAGGCAAATCTGTTGTGTCTCTCAGGGTATAATGACATACTGCCCTTCTTTGCCCCCACATCCAGAGAGGGTTCTGATTCAAAAGAATCTTCGGAGATGGTTTGTCAGACAGGGTTCATGTGAGACTCTTAGGAGCCCATATCACCCACATCTATTCAACTGGAGAACTTCCTGTCCAGCAATTTTTTTCTATATGTATATTTATTTTGTAACATTTTTAATTGTTTTATAATTG